AGTGGTGGTTTCCGATCACACTGGTGGGCACAAGGCCCTCACTACAGCGAACCGTACCTGCCACCCACTCCCTATGGTTATCCCACTTGCCCCCGGGTATAGGGGGAACTGTTGTGTGCAAGGGATTGTGTGCAGTTTATATTTCAAGCAATTTGCAAGTATAAACAATCAAAGATTTATTAAAGCCAAACAATAAAACATGTTATAAATACAAGTTAAGGGCAAAAGTGTTATTTTCTTGGTTTATTTATTGTTTAAGCCGGCCCATCACTAAATGGGATTAACTCTCTAGGCTTCCCCAGTGGAGTCGCCATCTGTCGCCGCCTCCCCGAAAAGGGGGCGCGGTCGGAGCGACGCGATGGTTATTTTCGACCCTCTCTTGTTTTCGCGTTTTTTTTATGGATGGTTACAACGCCTTTAGGTTGTCCGATAACCGGGCTAACCTAGGGGCGAGGTTTTCGAAAAGTGTCCTTGGGTTGTCCGATAACCGGGCTAATCCAAGGACTTATTTATTTTGGGTTCTATGGAGTCGCCACCAATGTTTTTACCGGAAACATCGAAAAAGGGGTTTTAAAAGGCGTTGGTTTTCGAAAACCAACTTTGGTCATTAGAACCAGAGTTGGGTAAGGGAGTTGGTTACGTGCAAAGGGAGTATTAGTCCCTTTACGACGCCCCTTTCGGGTTCCCTATGACAGGCCGGCTTATTTTATTGATAAACTAGAAAAATACACTTTTGCCCTTTTTATTCTGCGGAATTTAAAGGTATGACTACATGGCCCTACTATCTATTGCATAATTTAAGATAAAAACGGTAAAGGTGGAAGGAGAGAATTTGAACCTTCGAAGCGCGCTTTTTATATTAATTCTCTAAAAAATAGGGTGCTTTATGGCAGCCCTTCACTCTACAAGACGTCGGAAAAACCTCTCGAACGCCGAAAATCACTCTTGAAAGCACTCAGAAGCTCCGGAAATGCGTCGGAGGGATTCTAGAGAGAGGTTTTTAGAGAGAAGGGAGAGCTATGCAGCTGTGGTGTGTGGAAATGAGGGGGGGGGAGCCCCTATTTATAGGTTTTCGCGCTGTCAGGTGGCGAGACCGCCGTCTCGACCTGTCAAAATGGCGAGACCGCCGTCTGGGTGAATGAGACCGCCGTCTCGTCCTTCATAGGTGGCGAGACCGCCGTCTCGTTAAGCAAGACGGCGGTCTCGCCTCCTACGTGAGGCGAGACGGCGGTCTGGGTTGTCTAGAAGGCGGTCTCGTCCCTTCAAGGCGAGAAAACTTATTTTTTGGTACAGAAACTCCCTCCTATCCTAGTATGGGGCCTAATAGTCTCTCCTAGTGGCTTGTTAGGCTTGTCCATCTTCAAATAGGAGGTCTTCTGGTCCTTATTTGGAGGCCGGACAAGATTTGGGGTCTACACCCCTCAAGGAAACGGAGCAAGTCGTCATCATTTATCAAGCGACTCAGAGAAAAATAAGAGCCCAAAGCTCCAACCATCATCCTTCCACCCAATAAAAAGGGCACAAACATCAACCAAGAAAACTCGACGGAAAGGTTCAATCATCCCCAAGCGGATCTTTGCCTACTCCAGAGGCAAAATCGAAAAAATATTACCCTAAGGCTCAGCATCACCACCACATGAGTCAGCAAGCACACTCAACAAAGTCTCTGCCACATTTCCCAACGGATAAGGGCTCAACAAAAGGAAGAAGAAAAAAAGAAAAACCCTTCATCCCCAACGGATACAAAAAGAAAAAAAGGTCATGACAATGGAAGGCCAATAAATCCCCAAGTGGGTCGCACCAAAAAAGAAGAATAAAGCGGTCACAGTAAGGAATCGAAACTTCCATTTCCCCAGCGGAATAAGAGCTTCACAAAGATAACTTCATCAGCATCAATCAAGGAGCCAAGACTCCATTCCCCCAGAGGGCAACCAAAATTAGATCCCCAGGAAGTCAAACAATTCCCTGGCGGATCAACAAAAAGAAAAATATATCCCCAATGAGTCTACTATAAAGGCAATCTTCATACTCATATCCTCATAGAGTCGTTTGCCTATGCATAGGCAAGACCTGGCAAGCAAAGCCCAGCATCCCCAAAGGGAACATCAGCCTATTCAGAGGCAAAGAAATGCAACCAAAAGTCTTCACTTTCGATGAAGCATCCGCCTACTCAGAGGCATCATCATTAGAATTAACAAATCCCCAATGGATTCCTGCCTACCTGATGAGCCATTATTTTCCCGCATTTTATTATCTTTCTGTACTTATCTTAATTGGTGCATTGTGCTTAATTGTCTATTATTAGTGCATTTTCATTTATTGGGCTTCATTGGGCCATTATTCCGAATTCTGCTTAATTTAGCATTAATTGGTCTAATTTTCGTTTCTAATTATTTTTAGGTGTTTTTGGTGAAACAATTTTGGAGCTTGGACATTAATCTTGAGATGAAAAGAGTTTCCACATCATTTCCATGTCATTGCCACGTCACCTGCCATGTCAGCTGCTATTTCCACATCATATTATTGGTTGCCACATCAGTTAGGGTTTGTTTTATGTGTAATTCTGTGTGGGCCAGCTTGGGCCCATTCCTAGGGGACTCTAGGGTTAGGGTAGGCTTATAATTTAGAGGAGCAGCAAAAGAAGGGGAGCCACTATAGTTTTGTTTCATGTTGGTTTTCTCTGCACTTTAATTTGGACTGCTCAAGACTCATTGATGGATTAATATGATTCATTTTCGTTTTCTGCTGCCATAAAAGTTTACATTCTTTCACTTCTATTGCAATTTTCATTTGTGTAGTTCAGTTCAGCCCCAGTTTCGTATTTCAATTTCTGCTGCAATTCATTTTGTTATTCTGTTGTTCTATCTTGTATTTTTATTGTAATTTCGTGTTAATGGATAGCTAAACCTAGAGGGTTAGGTCCTTGAAGGATTGCAATCTCTGTTGAGATGTTCTCTGCACTTAATGTCCAGTTTAGTTCCTTGTTGTTGATTCTCTGCACTGGATCATAAAACGTAAGTCATGCTTAATGAATTCGGGTTCATTGTATCCAGTACCATGAGTTGCTTAATCTTGTGGGGAGAATCAATCACTATTTTAATCCGCATAATGTAATACTTTAGATTTGTAACAAAAAAGTGAAAGCATAAACACAAGTTCTTGACAGGACTATAAGTTTCTATACTATTTAAAACTCAACTAAGAGAGTAGATGACGCTTTCAACACTGTTCTAGCCTTTCTGGAGTGAATATATTGGTTATCATGGTGCCACATGACATAAAAGTATAGCTTCTCGGTTCTCTACTGTTCATAAAAAAAAGGTTATATATACGCAAATATGTTTATTTAACATGAATTTTAATTATAATATATATATATATATATATATATATATATATATGAAAATTATTTATTTATTATAAATTTTAATAATGTAAAGAAACTTTTAATCCTTTATAACAGACACTAAAATATTAGTCGACAAGAAAATCAATATGCAAAAAATTCATGAAGTCATGATAATGACAATACGATGAAAATGATTAGTACAAACATGATAAGTCTCTGAGTTAGTGGTATGAAAAAAATACATGTTCTTGACAGAACTATAAGTTTCTATACTATTTAAAACTCAACTAAGAGAGTAAGAGAGTAGATGACGCTTTCAACACTGTTCTAGCCTTTCTTGAGTGAATATATTGGTTATCATGGTGCACATGACAAAAAAGTATAGCTTCTCGGTTCTCTATTGTTCATGAAAAAAAAAGGTTATATACGCAAATATGTTTATTTAACATGAATTTTAATTATAATATATATATATATATATATATATGAAAATTATTTATTTATTATAAATTTTAATAATGTAAAGAAACTTTTAATCCTTTATACCAGACACCAAAATATTAGTCGACAAGAAAATCAATATGCAAAAAATTCATGAAGTCATGATAATGACAATACGATCAAAATGATTAGTACAAACATGATAAGTCTGAGTTAGTGGTATGAAAAAAACACATGGCAAGAAAAAAATAAAAATCAACGTCTCATACTCTACCACTAGGCTCTATAGACCAATTATCTCATCATCTTCCAAGACACAGCAGCTAAAGATTCCAATAAATGCCAACAATTACTGTGAATTTGTTGCAAAGATGGTGGAACTTAAGGCGTGGATTTCCAAATTAAATTTAGGCCTCATCGTGATCCTTCATTATTAAATAACTCAATTACGGAGGAAGTGTCATGTAAATGAAGGCCATCTAAAATTGTGAAACCCACCAAATGACTAACACCGGTCTGATGATTTTGTCGACGTCTGCATTAAAAACTGATCTATCAACCATACATGCGGAGATAAGAGCATGTTGTTGTTAAAGTTCATTCGAATTCAAATAAAATTATGAATAACAAGTACGATACCTGAATTTCAAGTCATATTTAATCAACTATTTTCCGTTCAAAGTAAAATAGAAATGCATCCACTTTAAAAAAAATAAATAAAGGTAAGGTCAAACGGCATGGGGTATTAAAACATTTTCCCGACAGTGAAAAATAGCTGTTGTGTTTAGGTGTTGTCAAATATATGGCCATAGCAGAACCAATTTAAGAGACAAGAACAACAATACAATGATTCCTCTAGTGAAATTTCTCAGGTAGCAAACTTTAATAGGCTCCAAAATGTAGATAGGAATTCGATCCGCATGACTGGTAACCTGGATTCTTCCAATTCAACCCACAAGTCATATTTTCTTTTTGTTTCTTGTTTTCTTTACCTAGGCTGACTACGGGGAAAAACAATACATTTTCAAGAATAGGCGGAATGGTGGTGCTTTGCAGAGTTAGACATTGTGGAGAGTAAACATCACATATATTTGTCATAATGACTGCATTCCCTTCCATGGAATCACTAACCAAACTTCAAGAAAAGATCTAAAGAATCAAACCCACCAAAGAAGTGGATATATGTGAAAGCAGAGAGCAAGCAACCATTCTACCTCCTCAACACCTTGCAAATTTCCCTCGTGTATACTACAAATGACCATATGGCAAGCCCTGCTGAAATGTAAAGCAAGAGAACACCAGATCCTGCCAAGATGGCAGGTCCTCCATGACTGAAAAAGGATCCAACCACATATGTCAAACCGGGACGGAATTAACAATTTTTCTTTTGACTGCAAATAATAGAGCTTCCATCAAATGCAAAGAAAATAAATACCTGCGGTCCCGGGTAGCAAGGAGGATAATTAATGCCACCATCTGTGTGGCTGTTTTCCATTTCCCCAGGTTATTAACTGCAACAACCTGTAAACTTTTGTTTAATTATATAAGCTCATAGCTTCACATCTAGAGCAAGCAATTGATTCAAGTGAACAGGAACTAAAACGAACCTCTAGAAGCTTGCTACCCTGGGAAGCCGCCCATTCCCTGAGTGCTGACATGGTTATCTATTTGCATGTTACAATATGAAATTATAAAACATTAGCTCTCAATTCACTAAGTGAGTATAACAGACAAGGTATGACGACTTGAAAGGGAAATGAAACTGAAAACAAGAAGAACAAGATAAAATTAGACTCGCATATATGTCTGTATACATGCACAGACACAGCGGATCTAGAATAGTTACCCCTTCCATCTTAGGATAAGCAATAGCCCCCAGAAGTTAGAATGATATCTGGACTATTTATGATTACGAGCCTTAATTTATCCTGAACTCAGGATATATGCCAGTGGTCTGTATGTGTTGCAATCCTACACCTGAGCAAAACACAGTAATACTAACTTTCCTTGTAAGGTGAAATGGAAATACACCTACCCACAGATCCACACTCTAGTTCATATTTACTTCTATTCTCACATACATTGAAGCATGGATCAGAAAGTTCAGACACAGCTTATATGACTTTTGGATAATGATTTACATCATTAATACAAATATAAAAGATATTTTGCACACTACAGCAACTAAATGGTGCACATTATCAGCACATCATTGATTCTGTCCTCCAGGTTGTCTCTATGGTCATACCATGAGAGTAGTAGCACAACAAGCATAAGTGTCCCCAAACATACAGACCCACAATTACACTATTGATATATAAAAATCTAGATTTTCCTGATATTCATGCATGAGAATTTAATCAAACCTATGTTTAAGTGCATTCTAGTGTGAAAAAATGATCATTTATAATTCAGATTCCATGACAAGTAGCAGAACCTGGTTTGAAGCTAATTTAATAACACAGAATCACAGTATACACTAATCAAGATAGAATAACTTAAGGAAAGATTAGGATATATGAAAGAATTAAGATGCATAAGTTCCATTGCTTGAAAGGGTCGGAGTGAAAGTCTTTCAAGTAATAAAAACCTTGAAATTGCAGATACGAGACATATGTATGCATTACCTCTCTACCAATTATGGTGATTGAAGGTATAATCAATAGCCATGGTAATTGTCCAAACACAGCAACTTCCAAAGGTCTAGTACATAATAGGACCAATGTGGCAGAAACCATGAGCTGCATTCAGTTTCAGTACAATTAAATTCACATATTGCCGATAGAAACTTGTAGCTAAAGAAAATTACCTTATCAGCTACTGGATCTAAAAAGGCACCAAATGTCGATTTCATTTTCATCTGCATTGCAAGTATATAAGAGACATAGTTTAATATATGAGTTAAGTTGAAAACCGAATATGCTTCCAACAACAACGCTAGGTGTTCTAAAAGGGAAGAGAAAGAGTATGAAAAAATCAGAGGAGGTACCTTACGAGCAATATAACCATCAAGCCAATCTGTAACTGCTGCAGCAGTGAAGATACTTGTAGTAACAACTGTTCCACGCCAACTATCCATGAAGAAGGCTAAGCAAAATATAAGGGAAAAAAGTTTATTTGATCACATCCAATCATTGCAAAAGGAAGCATTTTAACAAGTCAGTGAATCTAGAAGATGGAAGCAGGTGTAATTTGAGAAAATAAATTAGTAAGAAACAATTTGCATTGCATCCCTTCGAGATAGGCAAAAATTCAATTATAAAAAGTAAAAGAAAAACCGAAACGTACTGGCAACAAGAAGAGGTACAGCGGCCACACGGCCAAGAGTCAAAATGGTGGGCAAAGTAAGGAATTTGGAATTGGCAATGGCAGGCATTGAAGTACGGTCCTTCTTAGAGATAGACAATTCACGGACATTCACCTCGGCAACCATGTTTTTCTGCGATGCCGACGAACACCGACAACCCAACTAACCCCGATTTCTCTCTCACAATAACCCGCGGAGTACAGGCGCAGCGCAGGCGAAAGACGCAGCCAGTATTGGCTCCCAAAACCAAACCCTTGTGATTTTGTTTTGAAATAACTACAGAGCATTTCTAAACTCTAAGGATGTTTGTTCGCCGCTTCTCCAATCTCCCTTTGTTTGGTTAGATATCATTTTTTATGCCTTTCCTAATACTTTTATGTATTTTAAAAATAAATTCACTTATATCTTAACTCATCTAAATTTCATCCATTTTTTTATATTATTTTATATAATTATTATCCGATAATGCATTTTTTAAATTTATTAACTATTTAATATGTTTTAACTTTTGTAAATATCACCCATTTTTTTAATTCTTTAAAAAAATTGTTACTTTTAGATCTATTATATTTTCTTACTGTTTTTTTATTAATCTTTATTTTTATTTAAAATAGTTGAACATTAAACATGAATACCAATAAAAATTAAAAAAATATTTAAAAAGATTATTATTAAGTTTACATTACATTTAACTGGTAATTTTAAAAATATAAAATATATTTAATAATTTTTTCATCCTTAAAGATATTTTTTATAATAAAATTATATTATAAGTAATTAAAATTAAATTATAAGTGTCTAAGTATATATATATATTAAGAAAATATAATTTCAAAATAAAAATTTGAATAGAAAAGAGTAATTTTCCCAAAAAACGCTCCTAAGACCCATATTTTTGGAGGTTTATTAAAATGATGTTTATGCATACTTTTCTTAGTGCATTTATTTTCTCTCTTAGTTTTACCACTTATTGGATGATGTGGTATGAATGATACGACTTTGTCGAAAATCTTTTTATTGTAAAAGATATTTTTATGGCTTTAATTTGTTTTTGTATTTTTTATGACCCTTTATCTCTTCTGTCGGTCAACGTGGCTACTTAGCTTACAAAGAACCTGAAACCAGGCTAGCTTAACTGAAGACTGTCCGAGATAAAGTTGGCTTATCTTATCACTTTTTATGATTTTTAGGGTTTTTCATTATTTTTGTTGTATGATTGCCCTATGTTAATGCATCAATACAAATGCAACAAACGAATGCACACACAATTCGTACATCCACGAGCAGAGCCACTCTTATTTAATCACGAGGTAGGGTTTTCATGCAGAAACGTGTTTGGTTTAGGTGGTTCTAAACTGTTCTCACCAAGGCCAAAGGTCCCCAAGGTGCCCCCATTATAGGGACCTCTCAATCTCTCAGTCCTCGGGTCACGCACGGAACTCCGTGGTGACATCCTTAGACCAAAAGAAGAGAGTTATCACCTTGAGTTGGTGGTTTCCGACAACGGTTGTAGCCCCGTGTGCCAACAAGCCGGTCGTATCTGCCACCCACTCCCTATAGGTATTCACTCTTGCCCTCGGGTATAGAGGGACTGTTGTGTGCAAGGGTTTTTGTGTGCAATTTATATTTCAAACAATTTGCAGAAAATAATCATACAGCAATTATTAAAGCCATACAATAAAACATACGGAAAAGGGTAAAGGCGTAATTTCAAATCTTTACTTAGTTTGAATTTTATCCGTCACTAAATGGGATCAACTCTCTAGCTTCCCCAGTGGAGTCGCCATCTGTCGCCGCCGTCCGTTCTGACGTCCAGGGACATCTCGAACGTTTATGCGAGCGGACACGAAAAGATGGTTTAGACTCGCGTTTTATGTTAAAATATGATCATTACTTCTGAGGTGCTCAACAACTGAACTATCCTCTAATAAAAGCAAGGTTTTCGAAAAGGGGTTCTTATGGAGTCGCCACCAATGTTTTGACCGTAAACATTGGAAAAGGATAAAAAGGCGTTGATTTTACTAAACACCAAACTTAGCCATTATAACCAGAGTTGGGTAAGGGAGTTAGTTACGTGTGGGGAAGGTGTTAGCACCCCACAACGCCCCTTTCGGGTTCCCTATGACGGATTAATTCATTTAAGTAAAGATTACGAGAAATTACGCGATTACCCTATTTTATTGCATAATATTAAAATGGCTATCTACATGACTTTATTTCATATTGCATACATAAAGCAATAAATAAAGTAGTAAAAGAGAAGAGAATTGAACAGAACCTTCGTAGCAAGCTTTGTATTAAGAATCTTTAACTTTGAGGATGCGTTTTGGCAATCCCCCGCTCTAACAAAGACTCTCCTCTCCGAATACAAGATCGACTCGACTCAATTTTTACAGAAGAATCAAATGCTGGAATATGATTCCTTAACTGATTGTTACCTTATCAAGGCAATCAGAGAGTTCATTCGAAGAAGGAAGAGAAAAGACAAGTACTGGGAGTTGTCTGGTGTGTGAAACAGTGGCAAGTGAGCCTCCTATTTATAGTTTTCGCAGCCTGAATATTTGGGACGCCCATCTGGGTTGGGACGGCCGTCTGGGTTGGGAGGGCCGTCCCAACTGAATTTTTTACACTTGGATCAACCCCTGAAAGAGTGGGACGGGCAGTCTCACTTGGGACGACCGTCTCGACTTTGGGACGGCTGTCTCAACTTGTTTTGGCCAGCTTTTGTGTTCTGGGACCCCCGGGAAGCTTTCCTTTCTTTATTCGGACATCGGTTGATGTCGATAAACGCCCGTTGAAGCTTTATCTTCATATAGGAAGTCTTCTTGGCCTTTATTGAGATGCCAGACGAGCTTTATCTTGTTGTAGGAAGTCTCCTTTAGCCTTTATTGAGAGGCCGGACAAAATTAGGGCTCTACAGGGGCATCGTAAAGGAACTAACACTTCCTTTACACGTAACTAACTCCCTTACCCAACTCTGGTTCTAACGACCAAAGTTGGTTTCTTCGAAAACCAACGCCTTTTAACTCATTTTCCGGTAAAAACATCGGTGGTGACTCCACAGAACCCTTCAAAACTAGTTCTTGGGTCAGCCCGGTTATCGGACAACCCAAGAACGCCTTTTCGAAAACCTCGCCCCTAGGTTCAGCCCGGTTATCGGACAACCTAAAGGCGTTGTAACCATCAACAAAAAAACGTGAAAAACAAGAGGGTCAAAACCATCGCGTCACTCCGACCGCCTCGTTTTGACGGCGGCGACAGATGGCGACTCCGCTGGGGAAATCTCGGGAGTTGATCCCATTTAGTGATGGGCCAGCTTAAAAAATAAATAAACCAAGAAAATAATGCTTTTGCCCTTACCTTGTATTATAATTGTCGCCGCCGTCCGTTCCGACGTCCTGGGACATCTTGAACGTTTATGCGAGCGGTCGTGAAAAGATGGTTGAGACTCGCATTTTTTGTTAAAAATATGTTCATTGCTTCCGAGGTGCTCAACGCTGAACTATCCTCTAATAGAAGCAAGGTTTTCGAAAAGGATTCTTTTGGAGTCGCCACCAATGTTTTGACCATAAACATTGGAAAAGGAGAAAAAGACATTGATTTTAATAAAAACCAAACTTGGCCATTATAACCAGAGTCGAGTAAGGGAGTTAGTTACGTGTGGGGAAGGTATTAGCACCCCACAACGCCCCTTTCGGGTTCCCTATGACGGATTAATTCATTTAAGTTAAGATTACAAGAAATTACGCGATTACCCTTATTTTATTGCATAATGTTAAGAATGGCTATCTACATGATTTTATTTCTTATTGCATACAGAAAGCAATAAATAAAGCAGTAAAAGATAAGAGAATTGAACAGAACCTCCGTAGCAAGCTTTGTATATCGAATCTTGAATCACAAGGATGCGTTTTGGCAATCCTTCACTCTACAAAGACTCTCCTCTCCAAATACAAGATCGACTCGACTCGATTTTACAGAAGAATCGAATGCTGGAATATGATTCCTTAACTGATTGTTACCTTATAAAGGCAATCAGAGAGTTCATTCGAAGAGGGAAGAGGATAGACAAGTACTGGGAGTTGTCTGGTGTGTGAAACATGGCAAATGAGCCTCCAATTTATAATTTTTCGCTGCCTGCACGTTTGGGACGCCCTACTGGGTTGGGACGGCCGTCTGGGTTGGGACGGCCGTCCCAACTACATGTTTTACAAAGGCTGGGACGCCCTGGGGAGCTGCGACTGGCAGTCCCACTTGGGACGGCCGTCCCACTTGGCCAGGGAAGGTTGGGACGGCCGTCTCGACCTTGGGACGGCCGTCTCGACCTGTTTCAGCCAGCTTTCGTGTTCTGGGACCCCCGGGAAGCTTTCCTTTGTGTATTCGGATGTCATTTGATGCTGATAATCGCCCGTTAAAGCTTTATCTTCATATAGGAAGTCTTCTTGCCTTTATTGAGATGTCAGGCGAGCTTTGTCTTTGTTGTAGGAAGTCTCCTTAGCCTTTATTGAGAGACCGGGCAAAATTAGGGGTCTACAGCTGCCCCCCCTTCACCTGCCTAGCTAATTTGTTGGCCTAATATGCCGACAAGATTAGCTGGTAGGGGAAGGAGTTAACCCTTTATCCCGGTTATCCTTCGGATGCTCCTTTGCTGAAGTTGCTGATCCTCTGGATGATGAATGTGAACTTCCAGGAGGCTCCTTCGATCCAGTAGCTGATCCTGTGGTTGATGAGTATGAATTTCGTAGCTTTGGGATGCTCCTTCGATGCGGTAGCTGACCCCGTAGCTGACGAGTGTAAAGTCTTAGGATGCTCCTTCAGAGAGGTAGCCGATCCTTCGATTTGTAGGATGCTCCTTCGATGAGGTGGCCGATCCTTCGGTTTGTAGGATGCTCCTTTGGAGAGGTAGCCGATCCTTCGGTCTGTAGGATGCTCTTTTGGTGAGGTAGCCGATCCTTCGGTCTACAGGATGCTCCTTCGGTGAGGTAGCCGATCCTTCGGTCTATAGGATGCTCCTTCGGTGAGGTAGCCGATCCTTCGGTTTGCAGGATGCTCCTTCGGTGAGGTAGCCGATCCTTCGGTTTGCAGGATGCTCCTTTGGAGAGGTAGCCGATCCTTCGGTGTGCAGG